ATCTCCCGCATTTTCTATGCTACACTGACAATACACGGAACGCATTCTATCGTTAAACCGGGTCCATAGGACATTTATCATTTTAACGATAGAACATTCTATCTAAATGACATGCAGGTAGTTGTTTCTGAAACATTTTTTTAACCACAAAGTACATGTATAATAATTTTATCATTTTACTATGGGGTAAAAGATTTATTTCAGAAACAATTATGTGCGTGTGTATAGAATTAAGGGGCAAAACAGCCCAAATTGTATTATTCTTCAATTGGGAAGAACTTTTAAAAAAATAGTCACGATAGAATATGTTACTAAACTTTGTTTCATGTTCTAAAAATGTATTGTAAAGATCGCATCGGCTATCCAATGAATTGTTTGAAAGCATAATTAAATGGCTAAAACCTGCGCTTGACATACAGATATTATATAATTATGGTTTTCAAGATAATGAATGCAAGTAATGTTAAATCCAATGGAGTAAAACAATCCGTTTCTTTCATTATCCCTTTTCCATTTTAAAATGCGTTCATTTTCCTTTTTTACACAATTACTTAAAACGTGATTTATTTCGTTGCAGATAACAGGATAATGGACTTTGGCGGAGAATCTCTCCTCCACGTGAAGGCTCCTCGACGACACCGGAAACACGTGACCACGCCCAGCAGCACGCGGGTATTGGCAGCGTTGGAGGGGAAGGAGGAGCAAAACCAAGATGAAGTGTTTCAGTCGCCACCCCGAGAGCTGCAAAATCCAAGGTGGTCTACAGTTTGTTAAAATGATTAATAACATGGCAGAATAATTGCATGTTCATAATTATATTCAGTTGAAGGCAGTCAGTGAGTCATTGTACAGACTTCTTCATCAGCAGGACTGGAGTATGCTACATTTTTATAAGACAACTAGGCCAAATATTTACTAAGCCTAGTATTTTTTTTCACCAGTTAAGACTCTCATGCAGTACACGTCTGAACAGAGCATTTATTACCAATTGGGGCCCTCAAGGAGCAGCATGAGTCAGGGACTAACATTAGAATATAAGTCCCTGCATGAGTGTAACAGAGTGAAGGGGCATTTGAGTACATAGTTTTGTGGGGAATGTACACAAAGAGAGATAACTCGCTAAAATACCAAAAACTAAAGGAAATAGCAGTGCAAAAACATGGCACATGTTATTAAAAATTCATATTTCAATGTCAAAACTTGCTTAGTATTGAATGACACCCAGTAATTCTGTATACTGATTATATTTGTACTTTTTATGGCACTTTCTAGAAATTGAAAGACCTAGTAATAATATAATTTCCAAATAATAACTTTGATCATTTGATACACCAAATAGCTGTCATAGTCCTACAATGTGGAGAAAAGTAGTTAATATGTACAGATGAACATCACATACTTGGGAAGAAAAAGTAAGTTCAGCTAGATCATGGTTTTGTGTTTGTGTACATTGTTTAACGTCCCTCTCAAGAATTTTTCACTCATATGGAGACGCCACCACTTGCAGGTGGAGAGTTGCAAAATTTGACCTATATTTGGCACTCAGGGCAATTGAGCAGTGAGGGTTCTTTTTTGTGCCAGTATCTACTGTGACCTGGGATCCCGAATTATATGGTCTCATCCAAAGGACCGGTCTCCACGTCCCATGGTGGGATTCGAACCCGCGACGTAAGGATCAACACCTTACTTGGCCATTCTAGAGGGGACGTTCTGCCACTGCGTGACAGCTAGATCATGGCAAACAATAGATTGAAATGGAGTACTTTTGTCTGATTAAGTTTTTGAATAAAAAAAAACCCAAAGAGGATCATAAAAAAAAATTGCATAAAATGCACCTTAAATGGTTGAAATTTATCATTCTTCCTAGTGCAGTCTTCACCTACAAATGAAATTAACTACTAGAAGGAGAGATCTTGTAAGAAATTGGGATGAAAATGGGCACTTAAAATTTATATTAAAATTTGAATGTTTGTGGTCAAATACCTGTTATTATACTGGATTTTTTTTTTTTTAAATTCATGAAAACTTGTATGAAAGAATATGTGTGTATGATTCAGATCAAGATTTCCACTGGAAGTATAATATTTTATATTTTAAATCTTATGTGTTTTAATGCAGTGTATGGTTTGTATAAATATAAGCTGTCTATTGAGCAAAAAGCCACAGATTAATTAACATTCAGTTTCACCCACTCACAGTAACAAGCATTAGATACTTTAAAAAAAAAATGAAAAAGAAAAAGCTTTTCTCACTTTCATACCTACTGAAATGAAAAGGATTTTGTATCCAGCTCACTCTAATCAGGAAATAAATTATATACATTATGAGTAAGTAAACAAGAGGATATAAGCTTCTTTAATGAGGTGGTGGTGTCTTCATGGCATGTGTTCTGACCCTAGACAATTTGTAGTTATACAAACAATAGTTCACTGGCATAAGAAAAATGATTATAAAGTTTTTGTGATACAGAAAAGAACAAATCGTCTATCTGTGTTATATTTAGTTTCATACAAGACAAAAACTGCATCATAATGCAACTTCTTATAGTGACACAAGTATTTATTTTTAGTTTTGTTCAAGAATATATGTTGAATTGGAAAAGCTTTTGTTCTACGGCAATGCAGAATCAATATATCATTTTTTCTTGTATCACTTAATTTGCACAGCTGAGTATCTCTGATGCTTTGTCATTGAATACTTGTTCAACATTTGTAGTTTGATCCAACTCTCGTAGCTTGGCAACATTTCTGAAAAAAAAAAAGATTTGTCAATTTCAGGTCTGTAGTCATTTTCTTGATTTTTAAAAAAAAAACAAAATTTACATGACCTACACAGACCACAGTGGTACATATATTAATCTTTGATCTTTAAAATTGAAACATTCCCAGAGAACTTTGTTTTTGAAACATATTGAACTAGGCATTTGAAAATGTTTCACAAGACACTTCGAAAGCCAAACCTACACTATTCAGACTTCAAACTTTTTTGTCAGAATTTATCCTAATCTATCTGTGTAAGAGAATAAGAATTTTAAATGCAATGGTCTTGATGTACCTCCCCCCTTTCCAAAAAAAAAAAAAAATTGTCCCAGGGCACCTATTTTCCATGTTATTTTTTTTTTAAAGACACAAGTGCAAAACATTTCAAGATAATTTTGCAGTCAGGTGGTAGACAGAACAATTGATAAAACATAGTTGCCTTCCACTTTATTGGTCAGAATATGACCAGTCGTCTTTATCAGTTTATGCTGTTTTGCAGGTATATTGATTTTATAATGATTTATTAATTAGTTTTGTCACCAAAATGTCATTTATTGTACGTGTGATAATAAGTATCGAGTTCCTTAATTAGAAGCATGAGATTCTATCAGTGTTTCAGCTGTAATATAAATGTTCAGAATTGGAAGCATTGACTGCAGAGATAACAGCAGAGGTTAGCTTGGAGTAGAGTTTATTTAATTTAATGTTGTATATTTACTGAAGTCTGTGTATAATATGCTGGGAACACATGAATAAAAGGAACAATTTTAATGCTCCTTCTACCTCTTCATATCTTACTTCAAATTTAGAAATACATCCCTTTTTCTCAACTTTCCATGAAATTCATTATGAATACCCGGTACACTGTATTTTAAGAACTTAGACACTTCTGGACAATTGGGCAATGATATACGATATAAAACTTCAGAAGCCACTGTTGAAAGCGACAATCATCATTGTGTTAAATTACCATTTGCTGCTTTACTGTTTGAGTGAAAAAAATCTGTTGTCTTTGAGAAGTTAATTCTAGTTTGATCATGTAGGTCATACTCTTGAAACAGCAAAGCAATATCCATTCCCTTGCAACTGCATCGTTTAATGTATCAACTTCACTGAAAAGCATATCAACCTCGCACTATGTGCTCGGTCGATATGCTTTTCTGTGAAGTCTATATTTCAATTTATGAGCATCTGAAGAAATGAATCAGTCTATGGATTAGTTTGTAACACTTATCTATCCACTTGAGCATTGAACTGATCATACCTTTGTAGCTTGATAATTCACTTGAAAATATAGGTCATGTGCAGCATCTGAAGCATGAATGGTAGATAGGATATATATGCCAAGTTGTAACATACGTCCAAGGTTTGTCCAGGTATTGCATACACATTCACTTGGGAATGGATGGATCTGTTTGAAAAATTGTCCAAAGAAAAAAAATTGTTAGTACATGTATTTGTATACCAGGTATGTAATTTGTTTGAAATCAATAAATTTAGGTTAATAGTCAAATGAGTTAATATATTCCATGATGGAAAAACTGACAGACTTGTTGCAGATTTAATACACAGTTTGGCTAATATTATATTCAAATATGAAATCTATGCTCCACATAGAATTGTTACCAATTAAAGGCATTATTTAATGCTCTGCATATTGTTAGTAAGCAACCATATACTCTGTTCCATGAATCCCCTTTGTCTTATTGAATTGGATAGGCTCTTGGTGAGTATTGACACTATAGTACTGACGGCAGGTATAAATACCATGAAAGGTTTCAGCGCTACTGCAAAATCAAGAAAAACCTTTAACTAAGCAGAGAGCAATGCAGGTGAACTTAAGCATGGAAATGTTGGACTAGCACTCTATAATCTTTGTGGTAGCTTTGATTCTTGGCTAACTCTGCAGGGATTTTGGTGACGATGCCATTAAGTGTTGTTATTTTTCTAGGGCAGTGACAATATTGCATTGCTCCTTTTCTTGCAATATTTGATAGAATTTATAAGTTATTGGGAGTGACAAAAGTTGGTGCCTGAGGTATTGTAGCTGTTAATTGAAGAATTACCCTCAATCATTCTTGACCTCTTTATATTATCACAGCCGCTGTTGGTAATACATGGATTCCAAAGACATTGACATCTTACAAATAGGAATTCAATTTTAGTGGATTTAGAGCAAATAAGGACAGATAAGCTTGGATTTTGTGTATGCTGTTAAGGAATTCTGGCTTTTGTTGTAAAATGTCGACTAAGAAGACCTTAATTGATACTTACAGAGTGCAGGAATCAGACAGCAACTTTTTTGAAAGTTTTACGGCGTTATCATGGAGACAAGAAAATAAGAGACTGCGGGCAGCATCAGATGTAAGTAAATGTCAATTAAATTTTAATGCTTGGGTTTTAATGACCCTGTTAAATTACAATGATATGATCAAAGAACTTTCTTTAAAGTTTATTGTTCATTTTTTTGATGCATGTTTATGGAGTGAAGTCTTATGGTGACTGATCAATATTTGTCTTTAACGAAAATTAAAAATTTGCCTGATGAGACATAAGGATTCTGTGATGCTGCCGTTTTCATATTCTGTTTGAAATTTCATAGACATACATAGGTTGGAGGACGCAATCTTCATTTGAATTTGATGTCAGACCTAAAAATTTTCCCTAAAAATATAACTTGAATCAATTGATCATAAAGTATCAAAGTAGTGTTATGTTGTAAATGAGATGTTTGTCACATTAAAGGATTGTGCGATACATTAATATACAACGTACCTTAAGTTTTCATTCATTCAACCATTTTTCAATGGTTGGAAGTGTATTTAAATTTTGATCTTGCAAAGAACATCACATTTTACATATCTTAATATACTGGTAGTTTTTTGGAATACCATGTACATATGTATACATATAAGCAAATATAAAAAGCTTTTTATAAAAAACACACAGTATTGTTTAAGATGAGATTTATCCGTGTTCTATGCTAGGTTGAAAATAAAAAAAAGTATGCTTATTGATTCAGATGATTATTAATGTCTGCAGTAATACTTTGACAGTGTGTTTTAGGGGATGCTCATTTTCTCGTTTGTCAAGCTGGTATATTTTATGAGTCCTGGAGGATGTTTCATTAACTGCATGCATCCATAAGTGGTTTTTCTCAGCAGATTTTTTTTTATGCCCCACCATAAAATGAAGGGCATATATTCCATCCTTCATTCTGTCATAGTTATTTTCAAGATACTGAGCTGATTTTTTGGTGTGTATCTTTATATTGATGACTTCCAGATCGAGTGCGAGTTTCACATTGATTGACTCATTTTCACAAAGTTATTGCCCTTTGACTTTGAAAATTTCTAATTTTCACTGTTTCTGGTCTATTTTTTGGCTGTACTACTAGACAGTGAGTTGATATTAATTGATATGTGTCTTTACACTGAGGACTTGCAGATCAAGTTTGGGTTTTGTTGGTTGACCCATTTTCACAAAAATAATTGCCCTTAGACTTGAAAATTTCTAATTTTTAGCTCTATTGGTCAGAAACCAGAAGAGCTTATGCGATAGTAAGGTGTCCGTCGTCCGTCTGTCCGTCTAGCTGTCCGTCTGTCTGTAAACAATTTTTCAAAACGCTACTCCTCCTACAGTTTTGGTCTGATTTCAATATAACTTGGCACACAAGTAGACTACACTAAGATACATAATTTAGTGCATCGGTTTTTGATTTCGATGAACGGTGTTGCCATGGTGACTAAAAATAGAAATTTCTGTGAAGTTCCTTTAAAACGCTACTCCTCCTACAGTTTTGGTCTGATTTCAGTATAACTTGACACACAAGTAGACTACACTTAGATACATAATTCAGTGCATCGGTTTTTTATTTAGATGAACGGCATTGCCATGGTTACTTCAAATAGAAATTTCTGTGAAATTCCTTTAAAAGGCTACTCCTCCTACAGTTTTGGTCTGATTTCAACATAACTTGACACACAAGTAGACTTCACTAAGATACATAATTAGTGCATCGGTTTTTGATTTTGGTGAATGGTGTTGCCATGGTGACTAAAAATAGAAATTTCTGTGAAATTCCTTTGAAATTCTTCTTCTACAGTTTTGGTCTGATTTCAATATAACTTGGCACACAAGTAGACTACACTAAGATACATGATTTAGTGCATCGGTTTTTGATTTCGATGAACGGTGTTGCCATGGTTACTAAAAATAGAAATTTCTGTGAAATTTCTTTAAAAGGCTACTTTTCCTTGAATCAGTTTTGGTCTGATATTAAAATAACTTGGCAAACAAGTAGACTACACAAGTTACATAATTTAGTGCATCGGTTTTTGATTTCGATGAACGGTGTTGCCATGGTTACTAAAAATAGAAATTTCTATGAAATTCCTTTAAAACACTACTCCTCCTACAGTTTTGGTCTGATTTCAATATAACTTGGTGCACAAGTAGACTACATTAAGATACATTATTATATTTATTGATGCGTGTTGCGAAGTTTCAAATCCAAGTGCTACTTTTCCTTTGTTATATGTACAGACCAGTAGAGCTACAGTCTCATCAGAGACTTCTGGTTACTGTTTCTGGACTAATTTCTCACTGTACTTGTAGATAATGAACTAATTTTGGTATGGTTCTTCATATTTACATATCAAGTTCAATTTTCATGTAGATTGACCCATTTTAATGAAAGTTATTGTCCTTAAACTTTGAATTTTTTTAATTTTTCACTTTTTTCTGGGTGCGTCTTTTTACCACAAGGAACCACAAGGAACCACAAGGAACCCCAGGGATACCACAAGGTACCCCAGGGACACCATATACATCCTTAATTATTCTAAATATGGTTTATATGCACTTGTAAACTACAAAAAAATGTTTTTGAAGGGCAAATTAACACTTTAATTGTCCTAAACAGAGCAGTTATCCAAGATAAAAATTTAAAAGTAGTATACTTAAACAATTAAGCTCAATTATGCATGTATAGTTTTGAGGAACTTTAATAATATTTTATATGGTGTGAAAGAAATAATCCTGTAACTATGAATGGTGTATTTCAATACACAGAACCAATGGAAACTCACATAAACCCAAAGAATACCCTAGGCTTAAGGTACCACAAGAATACCCAAGGGTACCCTAGGAATATCTCAATGACACCCTATTTAACTATTTAAAAAAATGTACATGTAAATATGGTTTATATTTGCATTTGTAAATGACATAGTAACTGATTATTGTATATAGTGCAATACACAAAATAAAATGATACCCACATAAGAACCAAAGGATAGCCTTCAGTTACCACAAGGACATCCCAGGGTAACCCCCAAAATATCTCAAAATATCCCAAGGACAACCAGTTTGACCTTTATAAATCTAAAAATGGTTTTAATGCTTTTGTAAATAACTTAGTAACTGTTTATTGCATATTTTAATACACAAAAGGATACCAAGAACCCCAATTAAGGAAACTCTAGGTATCCAAATAATACCCTTAAGTATCCCAATAAATTTGAGCTATTTCAATAACATCCAATTCAGCTTTAATAAATGAAAATAGGTTTATGTGCATTTCTTAATTACATTGATCATTATCTGTTTATTGCTTAATTCAATACACAAATTAGAGGATTCAAAGGATGTACCCCAAGCGTACACCAATGACACCTCATTCAAACTTAATAAATGTCATATGCATTTGTAAGTTAGATATTAAGTCTTTCTGAGGTTTATTTGCATTCACTGTGTACAAGTTAATGATCATATTATGGTCATCTACCCAAAAATTTCAGCCAATCTGATAAGAATTTTTCACTCACGATTTCAGTCAAATTGTCAATTTATCTGTGTTACCTGCTATATAAATGAAACAAGTGTATAATTTATTATTATTAAATGTTATTATTAACCTGAATAAAGAAAATACAACAGTAAATCATCCTAAAAGTTTTGCAGTATGATGGCTATAACTTACAAAACTTTATGCATAAAAAAATATAACTCATACATGAAAGGGTCATAAAACCTAAATAAATAAATTTTATGCAATAGGATAATTTTTGTCAATGTACCACTATACACCAGAATATCGGAATTATTGTACCCAGCCCAAGTAGCCTTTCGGTGACTTAACTTGCATGGATCATGCATCTATAAGGATGTACATGTATACTACCACACTTGCTTCAGATGCTGGATCTGACCTACATTTTTTGGTTGAGTGACCAGAATTATTTCTTTTTTCTTTTTTTTTTTTGTGCAGGTTTCATTCTAGCTGAAGTAACTGTAAGCCCCCCGTGGTGATCAATCTTGCATGAATGATACCTCTAGGAATGTACACATGCAGATCTATATGGTTTGGTTGCTGAATCTTAGTACATTTTTCTGTATGATTGAACAGTGTGATTTAACAAAAAAGATTTGGAGCAAGCCCATGCCTATATATTACATGTAGTACGTACCTTTTAAAACATCCTACACGGGCGCAGATCTAGAAACTTTTCAAGGGGGGGGGGGGGTGAAGAGGAAAAAGGGTTGTTATAACATACATATACATACAGTAATAGTTTAACAACTTAATAGGATACTTGGGCGTAGAAGCGTTTTCAAAAGTGAGGGTGAGGGAAGCCAGGGAAAAAATATGGATTTCCTGAAAATTTTTGTTAAAAAAAATTAAAGGAAAAAACCCTCCGAACCCGAAAATCCTAATTTGTAGGGGGGGGGGGGGGCATTTTCTTTCAGTAACCAAATTTATTCATACATTACTACATTAGCCTTTCACTGAACAATTTCTATCGTAAAAACACAACAAAAAATTGGGTCTCCCCCCCTTCCCCCTCTCTCTCTCTGTCTATGTGTCTCTTGTTAGCAAATCCAAAAGGGATGGGGGGTTGCAAATCCCTGTAACCCCCCCCCCCCCCCCTTTGGATCTCAGCCACTGCTACACAGACCAAACATGTTTAAATCTTGCACTAATTACTACCCTAATATTTATAAAGGTTAGACTTTAATGTTGTACTTATAAATAACATTTAGTTGACTTGTACATCAAGATGACCTATGTAATCTTTTGATTTAATACTTATGTTTTAATAGTTTCTCAAGTACATAACAGTTTTGCTGCATTTGATTGTAATATTTAACTTAATTTTTTAATAAGTGTTGTTTGATTCATTGCATCAATCTTAAAACTATAAATATTTTGGTACACAATTACAGGTACATGTAATGTTTTAATTCGTATCTGTATAAATTCATTAATACTTTAAAAAAAAATATCAAAATCCATTCTCATGCAAGTTTATTACAATTTACAAATTCAGCACTGATTAATTTTCTCTCACAGGAATAGTAAA